TGGGAGATGAGACTTCAGCACTGATTTGGTGTCAGAATTCACAGGACTGTTTTTAAACACCTTGTTGGTCTACAGTTAAACAGAGAAAAACAAGTCTTATTAAAATATTCTCTGGAAGCCTGACACCAGTGGCTTACACCTGTAATCCTAGCTACTCAGGAAGCTGAGCTCTGAGGATCGCAGTTCAAAGCCAGCCCAGGCAGAAAAGTCTGTGGGACTCTTATCTCCAATAAACCACTAGAAAACCAGAAGTGGTGCTGTGGCTCAAGTGGTAGAGCACATGCCTTGAGCTGAAGAGTGCAGGGACAGCGCCCAAGGCTAGAGTTCAAGTCTCATGACCAACAAAAATAAATAAATAAAAAATCCTCTGGATTAAGGCAGTATGATGCTGGATGAAGGGACACAGGACTTCCTGCATTACTAGCCACACAAGCACCACACCTCCCCACCTCCCTATCTCCCCTTCATTCACTGGCACACACACTGAGGCCCCCCTTGTTAGGACTTGCACCAGCCTGTTGTCAGACCACTATGTCTTCTCTGTCATCCCTTGCAGATGCTCTCAAGACTTTTTTCCCTCTTCTGTTTAAGAGACAACAGTGTTAACTTATCTCTCTAGCTTTCTTATCTCCATCAATCTACCTGTCAGCCAGCTGCCAGGTTAACTTATCTAAACCCAAACTGTGATAAAGTCATTTAATTGCTTTGGACAAAGGCTATGAAAACTATAACCTACCTTTGGCCCCTCCCCAGATTCAATTTTTGGCTCTTCTAATATACATAGCAAATGATTCCTTGGAATACATTGTCATTCTTTACCATCTTTGTTCACATTAGCCTGGCATGTATCCTTTAGTGACTCCCTCCTACCCTGTTTTTATTTTTTTCTTTTGGTCTGCGACTGGGACTCTGATGTTTTCACTTATTGGCTAGCACTCTACCAACTGGGCCACACTGCTGATTCCTTCCCCCACTCTTAAAGATACATGTTAGAATCCTCAGCTCTAGAACCTGTCAACAGGCAGTGTGGAGTGTGTCCTCACTGTGTATATTTCTGTAAGACTCAGAATTTCTCTTTGTGCAGCATTTACCATACAAGTCTGTGAGCTTAAGAGGTGGATTTTTTTTTTCATGTCTATGTCTAGTATCTGGCATCAAATTTCCCATGGGGTAGTACTCTGAAAAAATTTACCTGAATAAATGAATGCATTCTGTATGCAGAAGCACAAGAAAAAAATTTAAGTTTGGGGGCTGGGAAGGTGGCTCAGTGGTAGAACGCTTGCCTTGCATGCATGAGGCCCTGGGTTCCATTCCTCAGCACCACATAAGCAAAAAGAAAAAAGCCGGAAGTGGTGCTGTGGCTCAAGTGGTAGAGTGCTAGCCTTGAGCTGAAGAACTGAGGGATAGCACCCAAGCCCAGAGTTCAGGCCCCACGACTGGACCCCCCCCCCAAAAAAAATTTAAGTTTGTACTTAAGATTTTTTTAAAGGAATAACCTTATTTCACTTATGTTATCTAGCAAATGTGCAGAACACAGGCCCATATATTGGACAAGTTTCTTACTCCTGAGAAAAAAGCCACTTGCTTCTGTGAGGAAGAAGAGTTTGCTGAATGTGAAAGTCATTTCTGATTGGTTGCGTGGGAGGCTCCTTCCTTTTTGTAGATTGCCTTTGGATAGTAATTTGTTCAGTTATTGGAGGGCATTGGGTTAGTTTTAGAATCTGAAAAGTTAGTATGAAAAGATATGGCCAATGTGATTTCTGAATGAAATGTTCTAGAGAGCTAAACCCCAAAAGAATATAAAACTACAAAACTGCTGAGTGCTGGTGGCTCATGCCTGTAATCCTAGCTATTCAGGAGGCTGAGATCTGGGGTTCAAAGCCAGTCTGGGCAGAGCAATCCCTGTGAGATTCTTATCTGCAAATTAACCACTGAAAAACCAGAAGTGGAGCTGTGGCTCAAAGTGGTAGAGAGCTAGCTTTCAGCAAAAAGAGCTCAGGGACAGTGCCTAGCTCCTGAGTTCAAGCCCCACAACTGCGAAAAACAGAACAAAAAACAAAACCCCCCACCACAACAATTTAAAAAAAAACCTACAAAATTTACTCACCCAAGAAAGGATTCTCTATGCTTATTGAGCATGGACACATGAATAAGATTTGGCTAATAATATTGACCTTTTGTACCTGTCCTGATTAGTTTGAGAATGGGTGTGTTAGTGAAGCCTAGCCAATCATAACAAAGCCAGCACTTCAGGTTTTTTTTTTTTCCTTTTTGGTCATGGGGCTTGAACTCTGGGCCTGGGCGCTGTCTCTTAGCGCTTTAGTTCAAGGCAAGTGCTCTGCCACTTGAGCCACAGCGCCACTTCCAGTTTTCTAGTGGTTAATTGGAGATAAGAGTCTCATGGACTTTCCTGCCTGGGCTGACTTTGAACCGTGATCCTCAGATCTCAACCTCCTGAGTAGCTAGGATTACAGGGGTAACCACCAGCACCCAGTGTACTTCAGCTTTAAGAACTGGAAAAATAGATTCCATTTCCATTGGGTTAGCTGACAAAGGTGGGTGTTATAAGTCTGAAGCTGCTAGCTGCCATCTTTCCATTTTACCATCGGAAGGGAGGAGGTTGGCTGAAAGGGAGCCAGAGACAGACTCAGAATTGAAAGAGACAGAGCAATAGCAAGCTGGGTTACACTCTCGGGGCCTCTGTGTCCAGCCATTTCCAAAGCTAGCCTAGTCTGGGAGTGTAGCCTAATAAACTTCTTTTGATTAAGTTAGTTTCGTCTTGTGTTCCAGGTGATCAGCGTTTTGTTGAACCCCACAATCATAGGAAGAATCAACAGTCATGGCTCATAAAGCTTATTCTGTGGATGCTTGGCTTTCCACAGTCCTGTAATGGCTTTTCCTGGATCATGAGCCTCCCTGTTAATGGTTCTCATTCATGCAGAAAATCAAAAGCAAGTCAGCTTTTGCCTAATTGGTTTTTTTTTTTTTTTTTTGATCAATTGCTTCTAGCACAGTCCAGCCAGACATCTCATACAATCTCTTTCAAAGACTAGCATTCACTCTGCCTTTTCCTGCCATGCTGGTGAACAGGCCATTGGATTAGAAGCATTCCGTCTGATAACTGATTGCTTGATGCAGTCTAAAACAGGTTTTCTCTCAGTTATTGTATTTTCTGTCCTAAATTCCTAGACTTAGTTTAACCTGAAAAAAACCACAGGTTTATTTAATATTTGTATGTATCAAGTTGATATTCATGAGTGAAAGATCTGACTACCTGACAAAAATAATTACATGTTTTTATACTTAGGATCTTATTTAATTTTTTTTTTTTTGGTCCTGGACTTGAACTCACATCCTGTTCCTGAGCTATTTTACTCAAGGCTTAGTGTTCTACCACTTGAGCTATGGCTCTTCTTCTGACTTTTTGGGGATTCTGACTTTTTGTTATTAATTTGAGATAAGAGTTGTGGTTTTTTTGTGTTTGTTTTTTGTCAGTCATGGGGCCTGAACTGTGGGCCTGGGCACTGTCCCTCAGCTCTTCAGCTCAAGGCTAGCGCTCTACCACTTGAGCCACAGTGCCACTTCTGGCCTCTTCTGTTTATGTGGTGCTGAGGAATCAAACCCAGGGCCTCATGCATGCAAGACAAACACTCTATCACTGAGCCACCTTCCCAACCCCTGTTTTTGTTTTTGTTTTAGTTTTAATGGGCTTTCCTGTCTGGGCTGGCTCTAATCTTGTGATCCTCAGATCTTAGCATCCTCTCTTATTTAATCTTCCCAGTAATCTTTGGGGCAGCGAGTGTCCCTGAGACCTCTTATAAGTTCATGGACAGTATGATCACAACAAATATGTTAGTCAAACTAAAAATCTCAATTAATTTAAACCATTTCACTGTTAGTTGCAAACCCCCCCCCCCCCCCCCGCAACTCTATGCGCATTAGAAATGGATCATATTCTGAGTACAATCACCTCAGTGATTCTCAGAATCTGTCAGTAGTGTTGGTCTTCTTTCTTCTACAAGTTATATTTTCAAGGGCTTTGCATTAAGACAGAAAACATTGAATTTTCTAAAAACAAACTCATAAAAAAATATCAGGACAGTTCTAGAAGTTCATGAAGCTCTGCCACAGCAGAAGGAATTACAAGGGCCACTTAGTGTAAGCCAGGGGAGTTGTCTTCCTGCAGACTGAGCAATAGGCTGGGGAGGGAGGAGCAAGCTGGGCTGCAAGAACCCTGGATGGCAAGGCCCAGCAGTTCAGGAGCAGAAGTAAGCCTAACCTGCTGTGAACCTTCTCTAATGTATCCTTTAAGGGAACCAACACAAATCTCCTGACTCTTCATGTTTTTCTTATCACTTGCCACATCTCCTGAATTTCTATTTTCAGTCATCCTTTCCTTTGGCTCTCCAGGGGCTTTCAGCCTCAGACGCCCCTTTGAAAGGGAAACACTGCAAACCATTATTTACCAGAGTGAGAGCTAAGCTTTATAGGAATAGGATAGAAGCTAGGCATTCCGAATTGTGGGGAATCAGGAGGAACACTGCGGGAGGAGGGGCAGGTCATGTGGCCATGACAAGATATGAACTGTCCTCAAGGAAAAGCCACAGCTTTCCCACAGAAGTTCCAAAACAATCACCCACAGATTTTCTTTTTCTGTGGTTTCTTTTTAGAAGCAGGGGTGATTATTTTCTTAAAAAGTTTTCTGTACTCTCTTCTTTCAGTTACGTAGAAACTGTAGCCTCTGTCTCTGGCAGGGAAGAGGCATTATTTCCTTTCACTCATTTCTCCAACATCAGACACATGATCAGTTTCGATAAAATCACTCTAGAGCTGTGCAGGAATGCATTTATGTAATGCTTGCAGCACATAGGGACAGACATAGCTGTGTTAAAATCATTTGAGTAGAGATTGACTTGAACATACCAGGCACAGTAAGAGCAGAACAATACTCGGAATACGTTCTAAGTCTTGAATGCTTTGGAAAGAACATGTGCACTCACCCCATTTGGATTGTTGACCCCAGAAACGAGGGTATGCAGTAGTCAGCAGCTGCCAGTGTGTATGGTGGTCGAGCTGCAGAATCGTCCCAGTAAATGTCCTTCTTCATCTTGGGTAAGCTCATGTGCATCTCATCCACAGCTAGAAGAGAGACCTAAAAGCATTGTCATAGTGTTAGAACAGCTCAGATATGGATGCTATAAAAAAAGAGAAGAATTTCCAGCAGGCAAATGCAAATTGGAGAGCAATAAGACATGACCTCTAAGAGTGAATCTACAGATGCCTTTGCTGCAGCCAGGGCTTCTGCAGAGTGGTCCCCGTTGTTTACTGCTCAAGAGCACTTGGCAATAGTGTAAGTGGGCTTTTTGCACTTCCCACACACCATCCATGGAGTCACGTGTCTCAGTGCAGAGCTGCATCTTACCTACAGGAAGGTGTGGCGAGGCACCTTTGTCTTCTTTGCTTCCAGGGATGGATTGTTCTTTGTGACTCCTCTGACAGCAGCCACTTCCCCCCTCCCCTTCACCCCCAAGGTAAACATTCTTATATTTTATCCTATTAATCCTGGGAGCAGATGTCTGCTTGCTGTCCCCTCTTTCTTGTTTGTTTGTTTTTTGGAAAGAGAAACCAACCAGCCCTAAATTGCTTGAAGTGGTAGTGATTTCTCTCTCCTCCTGGCTTTGACAAGGTCACATAAAAATAACATTATTTTTCTGGGAATCAGTTTGGATTTTTTTCTACTGGGATGTGGATTCAGGACTTTGTGCTTGCCAGGAAGGCACTCGATTATACTCCTAGATCTTTTCCTTTCAGTACTTTTCAACTAGGGCCTTGCATTTATTCTTAAGGCTTGGCCTGGGCTGCCATCCTCTTATTTACACTTTCCATGTAGCTGGGATGACAGATGTGTAACACCATTTCCAGTTATTAGTTGAAATGGGAGCTCCCACACTTTTTATCCTGATGGGAGTTGAGCTACAATCCTCCCCATCCCAGCCTCTTAAGTAGCTAGGTATACAGGCATGAGACACTGAGCTTGACCAAGGGAATCCAGTTTTGATTACAAGTGAGTAATGTAGGCATGATGCTTCTTCCCTAGCAGACCTACAGTGTAATCTACAATGAAACAATGTGATAGCAGGGCCAGGGCTTGAAACAAAATTAGGTGGAGTTTTTTACTCTGTGGCTTTCAGGGAAGGAATGGTCTGAGAAGAGTTTTGCAAAGAAGAAAAATTCCCTCATTCTTGCTTTTCCTGAAATGTCACGTTGGAACTTTGCAGGAAGAATTAAAGGGGGTCCCTTTTATGTGTTTCAGATAAATTTGTGAAATAGGCTGCTATAGCCTGGCTTGCCTTTCCATGTCTATTTCCTGCTTAGTTCCGGTGTGCTGCAAGCTGGAGAATTCACATCAGCTTGTGTCCTGCATGCTGATTTCTGGTCACTGTTAATCTCTGTGGATGGTAATAGCAATCAGGCAAAGGATGAATTAAAATATTGCTCTAAGATGGGTGCAGCAGCTCATACCTGTGGTCCCAGCTACACAGTAGGCTGTGATGTGGAAGATGGCAGGCTCAGGTCATCCAGGGCAAAAAAAAAAAAATCATGAGACCTCATCTCAACAGAAAAAAAACAACAACTAGGCACAGTGGTTGTGTGTTTGTCCTCTCCGCTACTCCAGGAAGCATACTGGAAGAATGAGATCAAGGTTGGCTTGGGCAAGAAGTGGGACCTATCTCAAAAATAACCTAACAAAAAGACTCAAAGTATTCTTCCAGTGGTAGAGTACCTGCCCAGCAAGCACAAGACTCTGATTTCAAACTCCAGTACTGTTTAAAAAAATTGCTCTGTACTAGATGGAAGAGGCCCAGTATGGCAAACAGAAACTTGCTGAGAAAATTGATTGATGTGGCATTCTACTGAAACTGCAATCCAGGACAACGCTATGCTCAAAGCCCCGCATTCTGCACAGTCAAGTCTCTTCTATTTGTGCCTAAAGCTCTGAAGTCCAGGCAGCTGCATTCAGAGCCTGTTAGGATTTTGAAATATCCCAAATCGCTTATTCTTAATGTTTACAAGGGAAAGAAAAGTTCCTCTAACCTGCAAATTTCTATCAATGCACCAGTTAGTTTCAAAATCATCATCATCTTCTCCAAAAGGGTTGATAAGCTGCTCAGCGACCTGCAGTTAAAAGCACAGAATAAGCCAGCATGAGGATGCTCGTGAAGACAGAACCGAGAGTGAGTTTGATTCCTGCTTTGTGCTCTCCTTCTCTTGCCTTAAGTCTTGTTCCTTAGTGAGCATACTCTCCAACTGTCTACTCCACTTCTTACAACGCAGACCTCTCCCAGAGAGACACTTTTGAGGAGCTGAATCAAATCAATGCATGTTGAAGAACCATCATAGCCTATGCTCTCAAGGAATTTATAAAGACCCAGACAATTAGACAAAGTTAAACAGCAAAGAAGGACTTAAGCCACATGTAAAGAAATATAAGATGATTTCACAATTATTAGATATAAACTACTAAATAGATGAGTCTGAGAGATAGAAGCTGTCAGGTTTAAATTAGAAATGTACTTAGTTTTACCCCAAGGATTTCTTTCTTTCTTTTTTTTTTGTTGGTCATGAGGCTTGAACTCTGGGCCTGGGTGCTGTCCCTCAGCTCTTCAGCTCCAGGCTAATGTACTACCTACCACTAGAGCCACAGAGCCACTTCCCCCAAAGATTTATTCTTATCCAGTGAGTTAGTTTTCATGCTGGGAAAAGTTTAGTAGCTTCTTAACATATATCTTCTTTTGTTTTTTGTTATTTTTTTGGTCCAGTCATGGGGCCTGAACTCTGGGCCTGGGCACTGTCCCTCAGCTCTTCAGCTCAAGGCTAGCACTCTACCACTTGAACCACAGCGCCACTTCTGGCTTTTTTCTTTTTGCTTGTGTGGTGCTGAGGAATCGAACCCAGGGCCTCATGCATGTAAGGCAAGCGCTCTACCACTGAGCTACCTTCCCAGCCCCTTAACATACATCTTCTAATATTTATTTGATATTAAATAATCTCGCCAAGTTCTTGAACTAAATAGCATTTTTGAGATGTGTGTGTGTGTGTGTGTGTGTGTGTGTCTGACTTGCCTATTATTTACCTTTTTTTTAGTGATTTTTGATTTTTTTATTATGTGTGTGTATGTTTTTGGAGATAGAGATAAAGAGAATGGGGGAAAGATTTTATATTGGTTCTAGCTAAGGACAAAACAGTACAAAATAATCATTTGATTAGTTTCTACATTCTAGATTCTGAGATCTTTGGATAGAATCTGGTACTTATTTTTTAAGATTTATGTCAAAAACGTAGCACAATTAATTTCATTTTTCAGCTGTTCATGAAATAACCAGGAGAGTTCTTAAAAACAAGCAAATAAACAAGCACATACAAGCTAGTGTCTGGGCACCTCCCCGAGAAATTCTGAGTTTGTAAGGCTGAGTCTAGGCATCAGGATGAGGTAAAGCTCCTGGGGGATTTTTACAGCCAATCAGTAAGCTTCACAGGGAGAGTTGTGGCAGAGGCCTTGTGGCAAGATGTGGGGGCTGTCTAACATCTCTTGCCGAGGGTTTGGTTTAATTAAATAGGTTGGCTGCTGAGTCCTCAAAATATTTTCATTATTTTCAATTTTTGCTTTTATGGTAGTTGTCTGGTATGTGTTACTTGAGTCTATATCAAATCGTGAAAATGACACCTACATTTGCTCACTGACAGTCTCCCCAAAACATACTTGATTAGAGGTTCCATTTCCAGTACGAAACCTAGTAGTAAACTGTTCAGAAATGTGCAATCATTTTTCTATCTTCTGGAAAGACTTACAAAGATCTAAATTGTCAAGATAGAGAGAGGCTACTCACCAGTAAGGGCAAACTCATTTTTATTACATTTGGCCACCTGACTTTTTTTTGTTGTTGTTGCTGGTACTAGGGTTTGAACTCAGGGCCTGAGTGCTGTCCCTGAACTTTTTTGCTCAAGGCTGACAATCTACCACTTGAGCCACAGCCCCATTTCTGGCTTTTTAGTAGATAATTGGAAAGAGTCTCAAGGACCTTCCTGCTTGGGCTGGCTACAAACCAACATCCTCAGATCTCAGCTTCTTGAGTAGCTTGGATTACAGTTGTGAACCACCAGAGGTGACCCTATGTTTGACTATCTCTTAAAGGGTTGTTTTCTCATATTTACCTTTATAAGTTTTTTGTTTTTTTTTTTGGGTTCCAGTCGTGGGCCTGAACTCTGGGCCTGGGCACTGTCCCTCAGCTCTTCAGCTCAAGGCTAACACTCTACCACTTGAGCCACAGCACCACTTCCAGCTTTTTTCTTTTTGCTTATATGGAGCTGAGGAATTGAACCCAGGGCCTCAGGCATGCAAGGCAAGCGCTCTTCCCAGCCTCCTTTAAAAGTATTTTATACAGAGAAAGATTGTTAGTAGTTTTAGAAAATATATCAAACTAGTGGCACCAGTGGCTCACACCTGTAATCCTAACTACTCTGGAAGCTGAGATCTGAGGATCATGATTCAAAGCCAGCCTGGGAAAGAAAATCCAAGAATCCTCTCCAATAAACTACTCAGAAAAAGCTGGAAATGGTGTTGTGGCTCAAGTGGTAGAGTGTTGGCCTTGAGCAAAAAAAGTTCAGAGACAGTACCCAGGCCTTGAGTTCAACACCAGGACTGGCAAAAGAAATGAAAAAAGAAAAGAAGGAAAGAAAGAAAGAAAAAAGAAAGGAAGGAAGAAAGGAAGAAAGGGAGGAAGGTAGGAAGGAAGGAAAAGAAAAGAAAGAAAATATATCAGAAGAAAGGAACCGCTAACATCTCTACATTACAATCAAGCACCTTACATAGACACAAAGCAAAGAACAAAAAAGCTCAGCACATATCAAGGGAAAAGACAGGGAAAAAAAGGACCAGAATGATAATAAACATTTGGGTCAGTTGTGGTGATTTTGTGTTTATAAAGCTAAGGCTACTTTTTCTTCTAAAGGGAAGTGAGAGCCATTAATTTCTCCTGCTCTCTTCCTCCTAAGTGGGTGAAAATAATAAAGACTCACTGTCATCTGGTTAAAAATGTTTTTGCCATTTAAAGGACATTTCATTTGTCTTTTGAGCATAAGTTGAAATACCAACACACTTATTTTTCTTGGTGTAGATTCAAACCAATAAAGAAAAGGCTTTTGTAGGGGAAATTTGCTCCAACCCCAAGTCCTGACTGCATATGGCGCTGGTAAGACCGATCATTAGAAAATTCTTTGTTTGTTAGCCTGAAACTGTCCTTGGATTTCAGTTAGTATAACACAGATATTATTTTCTATTTCTCTTTGAATCACATACTTCCCTTTTGGAATGTTATAAAAGTAATGGAAATACATATACATATACATATTCATATACATCTGGAGAGGCTGGGAAGAGTGTGGTGTGGGTGCTGCTAGGGAACCAATACAGCTCTATACTGAATATTGGACAAGCTATTCTTGCTGCTCAGACCTTTCTAAACTCCTGGAAAACCAAATGTCATCATTAATCCTCATATTTCCTGATTTTGATTTTTATAAGTTCTGATTTTGAAAATAGGATGTATTTAGTGTTGTGGGACAGCTAGTAAGATTTCTAGGAATTGCCAATAACAGTTTATAGAGGATACTATGACAATGTTAACGTTGAAGTCTGATACCCAAGCCTTTTTCTTATTCTTACCCTGCCTGGTTACTCTTTGTGGTCTAAAATATCAATACAGGCACAGTTATTACTTTAATTACATTATTGTGATCCTAATGGGAGCACTTGGAGACAGAAAAAAATCAATGTAAGAGTGTTCTTCTAATCTGTGTGTAATGAACTACTTCAGACTGCTCCAATATAGTCTGACAGCAGCCCTGTCACTATAATCCTTGATGGAAAAGTAATCACATCTCTGAGCTATTGCATGATAAATCTACCTTTGACACACTTGGGAAGATTTGCTAAAAACCTGAGTAGAAGATCAGCATAGAGAGTTTGGAATATGACAGGTTACAGAGGCATTGAGACTATTGGCTACCTTGAGCCATCCTGCGTAGAAGAAGAATTGTAGGAGAGTAAAGATTGGAATGTAAAGATCTAAATCATGCCCCGCATAGCCTTTGGTAGGATCCAAAAACTGTCGTCCAATCAGGCATGCAAAGAAGAAGGTGTAGACAGCAAGAGTGACAACCTAGAATAGAGAAAAACCAAAGTAAGAAGACAGTGGTGGCTGCCCCCAGGGAGCTAAGGTGCCACGGCAGGCCAGGAGAAATGCAAAATAGTTGATACCTGAGTATAAACCAGTGGAATCCCGACCCAGTCATAGCCAAATAAGAGACTGCACCAGGAGCGATAGCGATTCATTTCCTAGGACAGAACACATAAAATATGGTTGACAGTAATGAGTGTGGTGAGAAATATTGACTAGCACTCAGAACATGACCATGCTTTTCTGAATATGTCTGAAAAAAATGATGGGAACAACTTTGTAAAATGAATGAATTAGCTCCCAAGGTGACTACCCAAGGAAAATACTGGAAAAAAAAAAAAAAACACAATGAACATCAGTGAGCAGCATGCACAAGGACTTATTGTAGACTACCAAAAATATTAAGACAGAACTTTATAAAAATACCCCTTTTCTATTGACTTCACAAATGCATACTATATATGTCTAAATAAATGCCCCAGTATATGTATACACGCACATACACACACACACCCTCACCTATACATAGGTATATATGTGTGTATTCATGTAAATATACATAATACATAGATATGCTGAGAGTAGTGACAGGAAGGCAATGGTAAATAATTTAAGTATTTTTTTAGTTTTTGGGTTTTCTTTGCCGGTCTTGGGGTTGAACTATAGGCCTAGTGTTGTCCTTGAGCTTTTGTACCTAAGACTTGTATTCTAATACTTGAGCCACAGTTATACTTCTGGCTTTTTGTGGTTAATTGGAGATAAGAGATGCATGAACTTTTCTGCCTGGCTGGCTTTGAACCACGATCCTCAGATCTCAGACTCCTGAGTAGCTAGGATTAGATGTCAGTCACCTGTGCATGGCAATTTTTAGTAATTGGAAGAGCTTTTTTGTTCTTCTCTGTTTGAAAAACACAATTACACTAGATCTCAGGAGAAAAAAAGGTATCAGTATATTCCTCCACAAATAGGGATTTCGAGTGCTCATATTTGTTAGAAAATATATCTCTTTGGAGTAGGGAGAACTGAAAGTCATTGATTCTCTTCTGCCCCACATAATATTATCTAATACAGAGAAGAAGAGCAAATCTTTATTTGGGAGCAATTTTAAAACCATTTACTCTTTTTAGTCTCCAAGCAGGAGACAGTCATGGCATACCTATCCAGTCTTAGATTTGTTTCTTTGAACAATTCGGGTTCTTTTGTTTAGCGAGACACTGCTTTATTCAATGGAGCATGCTACTTTGTTAAATTGGGCTCAGTTACCATATTCCAATTTGGAAGAAATGGCTGAGGAGGTTCATTTTTTCAGATTTTATTCTAGAATCCTGAAGCCATGGAGGGCAAACATGAACCTTCCAAACCCTTGTCAGCCTGTGTTTAACACATGTTTACAGCATCTCTTACATACCAGGCTGTGCGAGACACAACAACTACTATGAGGCAATCTGAGTTTAATACATGCCCTGTCTCTTTCTTGCCCATTGTGGATTTTGATACTAACTCAATTTTTCCAGTTTCTTGGAACCAGAATTGAACAAAGCAGATTCTTCCTAATCCAGCCTGTTATATCTAAATGCCTATTGGGCTCCAATAACTGGCATCTGCTACTAATGCTTTGTGATGTACTCACAGTCATCAGTGATTGTAGATCGACGCTGTCTCTAATTCTACCTTCATCCCGGGCTTTAGTTGCAAGATTTCCAAACCAGATAAATGGAACCCAGTATTTCAGATGAGGTGATTTGAGGTGGTCGAATAATTTCCTTTCATCTGCTGTCATAAAACCTTTACAAAGATAAAAATTGCTAAGTTATAAAAATTAGTTTAACATTAATAGGTTAGCAGATTTTCAGTCTATTACAGAAGTGTATCTTGAGAATATAAAGAAAAGCATAGAAGTTCTTGTCTCTATTAGTTTGTGCTTTTATTAGTGTAGTAATATGGAATGTGTGTATGTACTTATTCATATGCACACATCTATCTATGGTGCAATGCAGGGACCATTCTATGCCAAAATACATATTGGCAGTCTCTGATAGAGAAGGTAAATGATCAGATAGTAAATGTGGCTAGAATATTTAGGGAAATGTATTCTTTAGGTTTTGGTGTATTCATCTAAAATGTGCACCAATGATGCTTAAAATTGTTAAGATTAAAAGACTAAATATGGGGGCTGGGAATGTGGCTTAGTGGTAGAGTGTTTGCTTAGCATGCATGAAACCCGGGGTTTGATTCCTCAGTACCACATAAACAGAAAAAGCCGAAAGTGGTGCTGTTGCTCAGGTGGTAGAGTACTAGCCTTGAGCAAAAAAAGAAACTCAGGGACAGTGACCAGAACTGGCAAAGAAAAAAAAAAAGACTAAATATCTATGGTGCTAAGTAAGGATTCACAGGTCTGTTTCTTCTGCTCTTTCCTTGACTTTCTCTTTACTCTGGGACTTTTTCCCTTTATAGTTCCCACATGGTACTTACATTATAGTATATTTTAATACACTTATAGTATTAGATTATATTATAGTATTATTAATGTTTCTCCTGCTAAGACATTTTTGAAGACATTAGTCTTCATAGTACCCAAAGCACTTGGAACATATTTTAGAAGTGTTTGTATAATTTTATGTGTGTATATATATAATTTTTGTATATAAACATACACACATATACATATATACACACACAAAGAAAATTTATATTGCTGTTTAGTTAGGTTTTCAATAACCTCTCTGAGACTCAGTTTCCTTATCTATACAAGAGAGATTATGCTAGCTACATCACAAGCATGCAGTAGAACTACCTGAAATGATGAATTTTTGTCAAGATGTTAGCATAACACATAGCTCCTACTTCGTTAAGTGCTAAGATGCATATTATGTGGCGCTCCTCCTCCTCTCTCCTCACATAAGAGAAGAAGAGCTTTGAATATTAGAAGAGGAATCAGGGGAGAGGATCGGGTGGGGGGAGGTGGGCGGAGATGGGAAGAGATGGAAAGGGGAAACAAAGAGGAGGCAACAATGCTTGATAAGAAATGTACTCGTTATCTTGCCCTTGTAATTGTAACCCCTCTGTATGGTATTCTCACAATAAAAAAAAAGAAGAGGAATCAAGTAGCAGGCTTATTTAATAGACAGACATCTACTCAATGTCTTCTACTATACTTCAGGGTTCATTCACATAGAAATGTAAGAATGTACATTTATGTACATTTATTCTTTTACTTTAAAAAAATTTGAGCCAGGAGCCGGTGGCTCAGGCCTGTAATCCTAGCTACTCAGGAGGCTGAGATCTGAGGATCATGGTTCAAAGTCAGCCTGGGCAAGAAAGTCTGTGAGACTTTTATCTCCAACAAACCACTAAAAAACTGAAAGTGGCACTGTGGCTCAAGTGGTAGAGCACTAGCCTTGAGCTGTAGAGCTGAGGCACGGCAGCCAGGCCCAGAGTTCAAATCCCATGACTGACAAAAAAAAATTTGATCAAGTAGTGGTACGTCTCATTTTTCCCAGCTACATCATTAATTTCCCTGGAGGAAATTACTGTGATCAGTATTAAGTATTCTTGCAGGGATATCTTACAGATTTTAATGCATTCCTATTTTCTGAAATGGAAATGGTTTAATTTACATACATATTTGCCATTTACTTCTTTTTTTAAGTTACCTCTTAGAGATTTTTAAAAATTAGCTGAGGACAGCAGCATTCCTCCTCCTCCTCCTCCTCCTCCTCCTCCTCCTTCTCCTCCTCCTCCTTTTTTTTCTTCTTCTTCTTCCACTTAAGCCACAGCATCACTTCCAGTTTTTGAGGTTAATGGGACATAAGAATCTTTTCTGCCCAGGGACTTTTCTGCCCAGGCTGGCTTTGAACCATGATCCTCAGATCTCAGTCTCCTGAGTAGCTAGGATTACAGGTGTGGGCCACCAGTGCCTGGCAAAAACATTCTTTTTTTAATGACTATTCTCTACTAACCTTAATTGTTAATTATATTCCATAATTTACTTAATTCTCTTCTGAATATTTAAGATATTTTTGCTAGTGAAACAAAAGCTAAACAAATACAGGCATTTCTCCCTATTTAAGGAATGGAGCCAATGTCTGAACCCTTGAAGATGCACGCACTGAAGTGCTGTCTTCCTATGGGTGCTGTGTAATAAATCTTTCTCTGCCCTAGACTATGACTCTTTGTTTGGCATGTGGGGGCAAGTGGCTGGACCTAACTTGGGACTCCTGAACTTTTGTTCTGGGGCCTAACAACCCTGTTTCATTACTCCAGGAAGTTAATAGGTAAACTTGACCTGTCTCAACTTTCAGCTTACAGACTTGCTACAGCTCTTCTTCCTTTAGCTGGAAGCCAATTCTCAGATATTCCATATCAATTGGCTAGCAGTTATATTCTTGGGATTTGGAATACAATTTTAAAAAATGATCCCACTTACTCACTGATGCAATCTCTGTAATTTGACCAAATAATAACTGTCTCTGGTTATTTTTTTTAATTCACCAGTATGTATCAAATTGTGCTAGCGAGTCAGTTCTCGCTTTCCAAGAGGAAAGCAAATATGCTGAGTGAAGGCTGCTGTACTGTAGACACTACAGTAAGAGTTAGAACCTTTAATCCATGCAGGATCTCTCTTGATCAGAAGGGAATATGTGATTTGTAAGTTTTTAGAACCAACTAGATTGGGTACTCTTCTAGGATCTGGGAAAGATGACTGGTAGATCAGACACTGATGCTTCAAGAGTACTACCTTCTCAGCCGGGCGCTGGTGGCTCACGCCTGTAATCCTAGCTACTCAGGAGGCTGAGATCTGAGAATCACGGTTCAAAGCCAGCCCGGGCAGGAGAGACCGTGAGACTCCTATCTCCAATAAACCACCAGAAAACCGGAAGTGGCGCTGTAGCTCAAGTGGTAGAGCGCTCGCCTTGAGCTGAAGAGCTGAAGGACAGCGCCCAGGCCCAGAGTTCAAGCCCCATGACGGACAAAAAAAAAAAAAAAAAGAGTACTACCTTCTCCCTCCTTACAAGGTCATGACCCTCATCTCTAAGATTGTTAATTACAATTATTAATCAGAAGCACTACCAGTTGTCTGATCTTCTACCACCCAGTCTCTTTCATATGTTTTTTCTTGTTTTTGTTTCTAAACCTTTTTCCCCAAGGCTCTATCCATTCTCCTAGCTGGCATGACTATTTTGTTCTACTGTTGTTACACACTTCTAGGATTTTTCCTGATATCTCTTTTTCTTTTGGCTTGTTCTGGTCTGTGTAGTGATTTTCATATTATTTGTCCACCCCCCAAAAAAACCCACCTTATTTAGTATTACTAATCAGAGTAAAATATTTCTATCTCAGACCAACTAGACATTTGTTTGTATTGATTAGCAAATCAAGTGATAGTTTAATGGACCTGCTAGTTTTAGACAAAATTTTATTGCCTTCAAGCTAAAGGACTAATTAAATCCATTGACAAACAAGATTCTAGTCATGGATTTTGTCTGCTGTACAATTGGCCTATTTTTCCTGGTTGAAGCTGCCTTTCAAACAGAGGATCAAGTGAGGTTCTGTTAGAAGAAGGACCAAAGCATCTAAAAAAATCACAAAAATTGAAGGCCAGGTTTGATGCCAATTCTTTCTGCAAGAGAAAGTTGTGCGTTCAGTGTCTGAGCCTTTCTCAGAGGGTTGACTTTTATAGGAAGATTGTAATGCCTTGGGCTCATTTTCAGCTCTGTTCTCCACATGCATACAAAAGAGGTACCACTTTCACTGGAGTGGTCCTTTACATATAATGGGAAAAGTTTAGAAATTCCTGTCAACTAGGAAAGTCAAAGAGAGAAGGATGGAATCAGAATATGACAACACTGTGCAGAGTAGTATCTCAAACCTCTTCTACCATGAACCACAGGGAGACATAGGTGGTTCAAGAAACAATTATTGGTGGCTATGAATGTGGCTTAGTGGCATAGTGCTTGCCTAGCATGCATGAAGCCCTGGGCTTGATGCCTCAGTCCCACATAAACAGAAAAAGCTGGAAGTGGTGCTGTGTCTCAAGTGCCTTGAGCAAAAGAAGCTCAGGGACAGTGCCCAGGCCCTGAGTTGACGCCTCAGGACTAGCAAAGAAAAAAGAAAAGAAAGAAAGAAAGAAAGGAAGAAAGAAAGAAGCCATTATTTGCCCTTCTACATAATGTTTTATCTGAATATTCATTATTCTGTTCTTCTATTCTATGTGTTGTTCCTCATTTTATCCTATTAAAATGGTGGTGGTCCTATGCCATTGAAATGATAATTTCACAATGAGTTATAGCCCATAGACTAGAAAACCTGTAAGATATGGTGAAGTAAAATCAGTTTCTGGAATAGCAACACTGGATGGAGACAGAGACACTGCTTTATTTTACTGAAAAGACCAAAACATCTCTAGTCAGACAATATCCCTGTCTTTAAGTTAGTATCCCATCAGATTGTTTACTGCTTCATATGTAATGAGGCACAAAAAATATCATACACCAAGTTATGTCTCTTAACTCCTCACTTGACTTTCATTTGTCCTGAGTGAATAGATCTGAAGCAAATTGCATATAAAACAGATGTGCCCTAGTGCAGTGGCTCCTAAACGTCATGGTATTGAATCCTAATGCCAGGGTGGAAGCCAGCTCTCAGGATTCATTTTTTTTAAAAAGATCCTCAATAATTCCTGCATGCTGCACAGTTAGGGAATCTACTGCCCTGATGCTTCATTTCAATATTCCTATTTGGAGTCAAATATCTTGCACTGCCTCTGCGAAACTCACTTAAATGTG